TCTTGATGAAGGTCTCCGCCCCTCCGATCTATAACTCTGGTTTGCTCCTTGTCATCTCTGAACTTTTCCGGATCAGAATAAACATGCTTTGCGATTGTTCTTTACTGTTACTGGTACCACGTCCACTCCAGTTCCTGCCCATATTTCCTCCGGGTCCAGGAAATTAATAGCTCCGGATAGCTTCGGATAGCTTCGGATAGCTTCGGACGTCCGGACTTTCCAGTACCAAAGTATTCTTTTGCATTATAGCTCTGGATAGCTTCGGATAGCTTTGGACGTCCAGACTTTTTCAGTACCAAAGTATTCCTTCGTGTTATGGCTCCGGATAGCTTCGGATAGCTTCGGATAAGCTCCGGATATCTTTGGATACCTTCGGACGTCCGGACTTTTCAGTATCAAAGCATTCCTTCGCGTTATAGCTCATCCGTCCATTTTGTTGTCAAATCTCCATGTTTCCGAAAGATCTGTTCACTCCTCCGCTCCAGGACAAGTTACACCCGCTCCGGATCCGAAACACTCCTATGGGTATTCTATGCCATGGCCCGGACATGTTTTATACAATTGTCCATCCTCCGTCCTCACTTTTCCACTCTGCAATCCTTCCATCCGTCCTCCTGTCCTTTTTCCTCAGTATACCAATATCCGACCTTTACCCCTATTTCCGGAACTCAATCGTCCGGATTTCCGATGGCTTTCTTGATGGAAGCTCCTGCTCCTACCTCCGATGCACCCTTTGTCTCTGGACCGCCTCCATTCGGAATGGATATACTTTGCAATAGCTTGTAGTTGCTTCGGACCCGCTTCCGCTCCTGTCTTAAAGTCCCTCACCGTTCAATATTGTCTTCTCTGGAATCTGTTTCGGATCCGGAAAAGCACTGGTGATACCTCCGAAATTTTTAGCACTACAGTCCTGCATTGTGTTATATCTTCCGTTCCATTCCGTTCTTGTGACTCACGTCCAGTTTCTTCCGAAAATCCAAAGCTCCTGCTGGAACCCTGTGCCCATTTTTCCTCCATCAATGTTTGGAAAATTCTCCCAAAAGGGGGGATAGGGACTCCGCTTGAGTATTCACTTCACCCTCTTCAGCTTGTGTTCCATCCGGAATTTGCTTGCTCCGTCCCATAACGGAACAATTTTCACCATCTCGTGCAGTCATACATACATGTGCAGCTTTCCTATCCGACCCGTAACCTATCCGGACCATCCAGATGCATTCTCCAGTCGGATCTGCTTCGGATGACCATGGAAAACACGCACATTGCATTGCACATCATTGGAACATGTCCGGATTCATCCATCCTTCATTTATCAAGCCTGTCAAGAGTCATCCGACACTTCCACCTCACTTCCCTATGTTCCGATCCACCTCCTATGGGTTTCCGCGCCATAGCCTCTATCCTCCGAAGCTCCGAAAATCCGAACCACTCGCAAACACCTCTGTCCTATTATATACATCTCCTCCGATGATCCATTCTCTTCCTCTGCTTTTCCGACTCAATCTCCGTTCCGACTCCCATTGTATATTTCACCATAGACCCTGGCATTGCCAAACACTTACGTCCGGACCTCCTATCATGTTTTCCGACCACATCCGACCCTAATCCGAAAAACCCAAGTCCACCGAGTCACTTCCACTGATAAAACCGACTATATATCCCTAGTTAACGCAGTTGCCTGTTGCAGGACTTGCGAGCTAGAAGGATCCGGTCCATTTCAGCATACACCTCCACCTGACCAGTGTTGACCTTCGGACCATTGATTTCCTGTCCATTGCACCCTTCCGGAACTGCCTGGAAAGCATTTCCGAAGATCCATCCGAAAATCGCGTCTTTGCAGATATCGTCAATCCACGTTTCCGACTCTCTGTGTTTCCGATGCTTTGAGTTTCCGATATCCGGTATCCGTGTTTCTGATCATCCGTCCGTCCCATCATAAGGATTTCCATCCACCACACGCGTTTATCAAAAGCCTCGCACCGGATGCAAAACCCTGCTATTTGCGTTAACTTTCAGTACACCTAGAAACTCCGTCCACGACCTTTGATAGTGTGCAATCCGTGCTCCGGAACATTTCCGGTCATAGGGGCTAATTTCCGGATTTCCGATGATGCACTTATCCTTAGCTGTACCTCAGCACAAGCTCTGCTTCGTGGAGATAGATATGTCTCACAGGACTCCTCCGTCACATCAGAAAGAAGCCTGCATTTCTGCATTCACTCTCGCCCTCTTTTCCTGCACTCGCTGCATTTCCGTTATCCTGACATGAAATCCTCCGCTCCGTGAGCTTCCTCCGATTTTCCCACGCATGTTCCGGACTTCCGGTCACCTTCGGAATTATCCTCAATGTGTTCCAGACTTCCGCTCCGGAAATCCATTTGTCCTCGCGTCCCATCGCCATTCTTCATCACCGTCTATGACATCCAGTCTCCAGATGAAGTACTAGGCATAATAATGAACCATGCATGTGTCAGGAACATTTCCGAGACCTCCGGAAATTTTCACTCATAGGAACCAATCCTCCGGAATCCATCCATCATTATCCTTTGCCATATACCAGCAATCTCCGTTCCGAACTTCCTAAGTCTTCAGCCTCGAGGGCTCGGCCTTAAAGGGGGGATACTGTCATATCCCGTATTCCGGACCTACATCCGACAATATTCCCACGCCTCATCCGGACCTTCGGACACCCTATTCATGTCTCCAGTCCTCTATCCATCCGGATCCCTGCACCCCTGCACATCCACATCCACATCCACATACATTTACCTCCATACCTCAATCCACGCATCTCATCCGGATGTCCGGTCCGGTCCGGTCCGATCCGATCCGATATACGATAAGCTTCCTAATTCAATTCCTGTGCATATAACGTTAACACAGCCTATTCCTCTATTCGGTATTCCTTGTCCTCGGTATCTCGGTTATACTTACTACCGGTATGCTTACTGATCCGTTAACCTATGCTTCATTTCCGACTCGCGCTTGATAACTTTGCTTATGCTTCATACATAGCCTCGGACGCTTGCTTACTGATCTTTCCGTTATTTCCTTAGTATATAAACTCTTGTATATGTCCTGTAGTTCCTCAGTCTGAATATCATATTAGTCCTCGCACTAGATCTCACTCTAAGTCCTCATATCAGTTCTAGTCTATCGACTTAGTCAATATCCATCTCGGGCCTAGGGAGAAATTCCCTAGGCCAGAGCTCCGCTTATCCGCTCATCCGCTTATCCGCTTATCCGCTCATCCGATCCTCCGAAGTTTCCGGACATTCGTCCGAAACTTTCCCGCGGTCCTCCGGACCTATTCTGCTTCGGACTTTGTCCTTGCAGCCTTTCCTCTGTTTGCTTCTACTTAGGACTTGTCATAAGTAGCCATTACACGTATCCGTATCAGGACGAAACCTCATCGTAATTTCCGGAAGTTCCTCCGGAACTTTCCCGCACTCGTCCGGAAGTTACTTGCACTCGTCCGGAAAGTCCTTCCGAACTTTCCCGCGCTTCGGACGTCCTTCGGACGTCCTTGGACTTTCTTCGGACATCACTCTGAAATTAAGGGCACATACTCGGGTAAGGGGCGCAGCGCACGAGCTGAAGCCAAGCCCCTCAGAATCAGTCCTACCCTTTGTGCATGGTCTTAACAGAGCTCCTTTGTACGATACTCACCTTGATGTATCTGACCCAGACGTCATCATCTTTCAATGCAATACCTGCCCCATTTTCATCACTCCATGTGAATCCCGATGTATTCTTGATATCAACTACAGCATTATACAATGTTTTCAACTAGAAAGATATTGCACTGATGTTAGTGCCAGCGCCGATAAGAAATTTGAGTTCTTTTATGTAAACATACCGATGTCCATTTGTTCTTGCACACTGTCCCAGTCTTTACTGCACCCCTTTGATCAGGGAATTTCTTCTTCAGATCTTCTGCTGCTGCATTGAAAGCAGGTGCCTTGAAGCCACCATCACCTGAGGAAGAAAGAGCGCCCAGAAGAGACTCAAGCAATGCTGTTTCCTCCTCCTTTGTCCAGATCGCAGCAGCCTTGCGGGATGTGCCAGTCCCCTCAGCTTTCTTATCAGCAGGACCTTGAGACCGAAGGGAGCGTGTAGAACCAGTACCAGACTTATCAGACATTGTGATGGAATTAGTGTGCCACTCGACACGGTGAACCCGAGGTTCACAGCTGGCTTACGTGTAGTGTCACATGATGGTCGAATTTTGAATTGAATTATAATATTCGCTGTCCAAACAGGACCTAAGTGTTTCAAATGGTTGATAATACTTGATATCGGTGGCAGTTGCGTCACATGAGCAACACGGTCACGGGAGTTGTATTGAAATAGAAAATTGAATTCCTGGAATGCGGACGTGTTGGTTGAACCTAACCTTGTCCGAGGACCTCAAGGAACCACGAGTCGATGAGTCCATCTAGTATTTGGTGATTCCCTGTACATTACATCTCTCCCTCATCGAAGCCCACAAGCCCTCGGCCAAACAGTGTATTCCCATCACCTTCAAGGCTTACCTACAGGTGCCAACGATATAGTGAGTATTTCCCTCCCGCAATACTTGTTCAGGTGAATGCGGCAGCGATCACAGTTTGTTGAACATTCATCAATCGTCATGCACCGAATAAGCATACAGTTGATTGCATCCTTTTTTTTCAAGTTGAGATTCTTTTCTAATTCCTCTGTCCAGCCAAGATCATCATCCTCCCCCCGTTATCAGCTCAACTGGACGAGTCGTATAGAATCATTCGGTTCTTCTTAGCGTGCCGTCTTCAGTGTTTTTAACATTGTTCGCATTGCCCACCACCTGCTCTTGTTCCCAACATGTAGTCCAACTTCAACCTCAACTGCTTAGTATTAGGCGACCACACCAGGAACATATTCCCGGTCAAGATTGTATCGACGAAGTTAGTTTATGACCTGAAAGAATTGATCAAGGAAAATAAGCCTGCATTTCGCGACCTGGATGCAGACGCTCTCCGGCTATGGAAAGTGAGTGATCTGATACCTACAATCAGGTGCGGACAATCTAATACTTTGCAAGGTCGACCTGCCTGTTGATGACACCCTCGAGAGTAATATCGACAATCTCAAACCAGATCACAAGAAAGCATTATCGCCTGTGGACTCAATGTTTGAGGTTCTCGACACTCCTCCTCAGCGTAAGCACCTGCATATTGTTGTCCAACCACCTCTTTGTGAGTTATCGGTCGACACCGCTTTGACACGGTGACTGAGCTGATGGCTGCCTCCCAGACGGACAGTACAAAGGTTTCCGTTACGCAATCGCTAAAGTTAAGAACGAGTTAGGGTCCACGGCGACCGAACCCCACATGCAAACCATTCTATATTATATACATTCTACTGAGTCTTTCGCGAAGGCCAAGCCTACATTTAGGTTTCCCTGTATAACAATCACTCTATTTGGTAGGTTTGCAGTATTTCACAACTCGCGATGCATTGATCATAACTTCAACAGGTCCGCACATCGATTTCTCAGCTGCTGTTTGGAGCACTCGTCCGAACATGCAGGTGATTTCGACTGGTTTACCTCTCTTTCACCACCCCACTGATAGCAAAATGCGTGCGATGGTCGCTCGGCACATTGGTGCGCTCAGGAAGGCTCTTCGGTTCCTCTTGGCATGTTACCAGGGCATTACGTCCCCTTCTCCCGATCAAGACCTCGAATTTCTGGACTCTAAGTTTCAAGATCCCATGTTTCCATACCCGTATTCTTTCACTTGCATCGAGACATCGTTGACGTGATTTCACGTACTACAATCAAATGGATCATTCCAGACTACTCTTCCGCTGTCAAGACAACCGACGACAAGATGCTCTGCATCAAGTTTGTCCGTCGCTACTCTAAGGAAGTACATGAACGATGTGCTTCGGACGGCTTCGCTCCAGCCCTTCTGGGTTTCGAACAGCTACCAGGCGGATGGTACATGATTGTGATGGAGATGATCACGGATGATTACTGTCGTCTCCAGGATATTACCGTCCCTTACCCTCATCATGATGCGCTCGCTACGGAACTCCAGTCTCTTTCATCGAGGAGGTTATGTTCACGGAGACATCCGGGATACAAATATTATGGTAAAAAAGGACTTCAGCCCTGGATTCATGTTGGTGGATTTCGACTGGTCTGGAACGATAGGCGAAGCCCGATACCCAGTGAACGTATATCAAGGAGAACGTCTCTGGAGACCTGATGGAGCGGAAGACGGACAGTTGGTCATGCCCGAACATGATATGCAGATGTTGTACGCCATCTTTCCAGAAGGCACCTTTGTTTGAGAGTGAGTAACTAGTACGGTTGACCAGTATTGATTTTACTAGATTTGTATTACATTCCGTAGATTACTTATCTGTACGTTTTAATTCCATCACACTTGATGCATTGATGACCGAGATACGTATCTTGAGGCTGGTTCCCTGGTCGATGCACGTGAACGACATTGTGCCACCACCGACTCGGAAGCGTGCGAAGGGGAGGACACCCAGTACCGTCATGGCCCCATCTATTAGTCGTCCTACTACGGCTTCTTCCCCAAACTCTGAGTTTCTGCCTTCCTCCAAAGCTCTCGCAACTACAACTACTTCTATATCCACAGCTGTTTCAGGCAAGATACCCCCGCCGAGACATGTACACTCTGCCGTGGTGCCGACTCAATGAGGTCCCATTGCACCCGCAACACGACCTCCCCAATTCCAAGTTCCCTTCGTCTCAATTGTGCTACTATGCTACCGTGCAATTGCCTATGTGGCTTCACGTGCGAAGGCAAGTTATGCTATAGCCTTTCAAGCCTTCACTGCTCAGGAAACCCAACCCCAAACTTGTTCCCGCATTAAAGCAGGTCGTTCAGACTCCTGAGAGCCCGCCGACTTCAATGCTCGAGCTGGATAATGACGACAACGGCAATGACGACGACGAAGAGGGCCGAGTCGGTGCAGATTCATCGTTTGATTGTGTTTTTAATGCGGACGCGGATGCTCTGGTGGCGACCACGCGGCAGTATGATTGGTGTGGTAGATGGCATGCAGTTTCTGTGCTGGAGAAGATATGATGCGGTACCGGTATGCTTCCAATCCGTTTTTGATAATTCATCTACTAGTACATATGTATATTCACACGTGTGATTAGTTGGGGGAGGTCCGCACCTTCTTGATCTTCATCTTCTCAGACAGGTTACCGCGACATCTATCTGCTCCTCCACTCTGCACCTCCCCTAAACTATCCAAGTTTCTTGCCCTGCATCGCTGCCATGTTTTGGACTCCGTTTCTGGTACGCGCAGTGCCCTATAATTCATGTCGCCGTCTACGTGATTTTGATGAGAAGCACTCTGCTGACATGCTAACAACTCACTATATAGTACTAGTGTAGCGTACCAAGTGAGAACGTTTGGAGGTCCTCGGGAGTAAACCTCTCACATGATCCGGCGTACTCGGCCCAGTACTAGTAGCGCTGTCTGCATTAGCATGATATGCCATTTTCACTGCAAGTGATACCTCGTTCAAAGTCGTGACTCTTGTGCCCTGAGTCACCGATAGCGACCGTAATTTCGATAGAGAGAGATAATTTCTATCTTTATCTGAGTCGTCAGGAAGACGCGGTCCTCTACGAACTGTCCTATGGCGTAATTCCAATAGAACTTCGACAATACTCCGAATCCCAGATCAGTAAACTGTTGAGACTCCACTAGTCTCACCTTCTCGGAAGGTCGAAGCCTTAGATCTTAGACCTTGTGAAAACTCATCTATACCTTTATTACACATGGATGTGTTACGAAGTTACCAACCCACCTTTGTCTATTTTCTGTTAACATTGTCCGTTCTTCAAATTCACTCGCTGCCCTCGTGAACGAGACTTTTACAACATGACAAAGATGGCAGAGCCGCCATCTCCAGCAGTCGAGGAGGCCAAAGACAGACCAGGTCCATCCTGGAAAAATGTTGAGGAGCACGTCATCCCTGAAAATCGCCTAGGGATTGTGTTTATTGGCTGGATGTGTACAACTTTCTTGGTAGCCATAGATGAAGTACGTATGTGTTATTTTATTGATGAATGTCAAATTGACATACCATAAGACTGTCGTTGCCACCGCCCTGCCCACAATTGTAGCTGATCTAGGGGGAGGTAAGAACTATAGTTGGGTGGGGAGGTACGTATGTGTTACATATGGTGTTATTACATGGTACTATTTTCCACGTAGTGCTTACATGCTGGCGTGCTCCTCTTTGAGTCCGCTATATGGAAAACTATCCGACATTTTAGGCGAGTGCTCTTTGAGTCTTATGGAGTGTTGCTCGGGAATCAACTTATGACTGGAATCTGCAGGCCGCAAACCCATACTATATGGATGCATCCTCGTATTTTTGGTATGTTATTGCTAGCACGCGCGTCCGACTAGGCTTTGACCTCATAGACTAGATTGGATCAGCGCTGTGTGGTGCAGCTCAGAACATGACATGGTTGATTGCCTCTCGTACCGTACAGGGGGTTGGCGCCGGTGGCATCTTCCAACTCGTACAGATCATCATATCCGACATCGTTCCATTGGAAGAGTGAATATGTGTTACCAGTACCAAGTCATTGTTGATCATATTTATTTTCCAGGCGAGGCAAGTACAGTGGTCTCATTGGTGCCACTTGGGGCACAGCAAGGTAAGGTTAAATAACACACCGCCGTTAAGCCTCCAAAGCCTGAAACTTATCTCTCAGCGTTATCGGACCGTTAATCGGCGGCGTGAGGTCTCCCATCTTCTGAGGGGATCTGAGAATTGATTTTTTTGCGTTACAGCTTTTCACTGATCATGTATCTTGGAGGTGGTAAGTTTGCGTGTGCTATTTGTTGACCGAAGGTTCACGATTGACGCGTACCAGGTGCTTCTGGATTAATTTGTGCGCTTGATATGTTTCTAATGTTTGCTACGAGATCAGAAGCTTATTACTAACACGTCTTATGGACAGACCAACTGGTGGCTTAGCTGGGGCAGTTTTATTCTTTTTCTTAAATCTGAATCCGCACCAAGGAAGGCCGTTCCGCGATCATGTCCGAGAATTCGATTTCGTTGGACTGTTTGTGATCGTTATAGGGGTTATTTGTCTCCTTATTGGTATCAACTCAACGACGTGTAATTTCATCTTCTTGCTCTACAGAACCGAAGCCCATTATTATTTTCTTTAGGGAAAACCCCACAAACCATTGCACTCCTTGCTGTGGGAGGTACACTGCTCATCATCGGTGGAATCAATGAGATTTATACGAAGCGGTCGCCCATTATTCCTCCTCGTCTTTTCCAGGCGAGTTCTTGAGAAAGCTCTCCATATCAATATCGTTTCTCATGGTTTTTCAGACACGTACGACAGGCTTTGCATTAGTTTCTGTCTTCATACATGCTACGATATTCTTCGCAGGTGTGTCATGCACGCGAATCTGTCTCGGGAGTACTAACAATCATTTACGTGACTATTCCAGGTGCTTAGTGAGTACGTTCAGACAGAGCTTATACTTGTCATCACCATGTGTTTTCTAGCTACCTTCCAATGTACTACCAAGGTAGGCCTGTCCTATAGCCTTCGAATCTGCATTTTGCTGAGCTCGACACAAGTTCTTGGCGCATCGGCAACGAGTTCTGGCATCAAGTGAGTATTGAACCCATGTATCATTGTTATCCTATGTTGCTGATATGCGCAGAATGCTTCCTTACTCGTTAAGCTGTAGTCTCATGTCATCAGTTTCTGGAATGGTTATGACTCGCACGGGATCCTACCGCCCTGTCATATGGTTCGGATGGATTTCCATGACGCTTGGTTGGGGGCTCATGACTATGCTGGATAATACGACCACTGTGTACGTATTTAGTTTGTGTCGGATTCACGCGGTCGTTATAGCTTTTTCATTTAGTGCAGCACAGGAAATCTACCCTGTTATTGCTTCCCTCGGCGTCGGTTGCTTGTTCCAGGTGAGTTTACCACATCATAACGATGCACGGTCTTCATCACCTCTGCAATAGAGCCCGCTTATTGCCATACAGGCAGCCGTGCCTATAAAGGATATGGCTACCAGTATAAGCACTTCTATGTTCCTCCGGTGGGTGTGACTTTACGATTTGTTTTTCGTAGGTACTTATTGGTCTCGAGAACTCTTGGGAATACGGTAGGCATGGCGATGGGGGAAGCTGTTATTTCCAGTGTCCTCCAGCAGAAACTGCAGGGCATCCAAGGCCTCACAATCGACACTTCTGCCACGGCTTTAAACGGTAACATAAAGCGGATCTCTTCCATTTCTGTAAGCACGCTACCATGGTCTCGATTCTGGCTTAACGATCACTCCCACCAGAACCCAATAGTGCGCCACGAAGTTATGCATGCTTACTCGCGATCGATCAGCACGATTTGGATAGTCAGCACTCCACTATCTGCATTCGGTCTCTTTCTAGTTCTCTTCCTCCGTAGCTACACACTCAAACGTACGATCATCCGCGGCCACGAGAACAAGCTAAGAGATGCTGAGACGGGTGCTGAGCAATCAACAGTTGCAGATGCAGACGACTTACCAGCCTTGGAGTTGGAGCGTTTTGGGAAGCACCAAGCATCGGCCTTCTCTGATAACGTCACTGGATCAACAGACTCATTGGACGATATTGGCAAGCAGGATATGAAAGCATAGAATGAGGGGAAAAAATTCCCCTGTATCTCTGGCATAGAGGTGGGCGAAACCCAATCATACTCCATCGATGTTCTGACTCGAGTAGCAATAACACCTCCGCTCACGTCACAAGTGTTCCGATGCCATCGTCGCTGCTGCGTCTTAGGCTGCGCATGGCCATGATTTATTCCATCAACTGTGACTCGCGGTTCCATATAACATTCGAAATATATTGTAGAGCTCCGATTGGGCCCGGGGATGGCTAGACGATGAACCAGGGCTAGGAAATATGTAAATGCAAACATGCGAGTATTCTGTGTAGAGGTGCTATGATTCCTGAAACCGAGATCCTCAGATTGAATGCTTCCGTTCATGAGCGGGATGGAGTGGTGGACTGTTGGGTAGCGGTCAGTCCATCTTGCATGTCCCCACCCATCCCCCTCGTGCACTAATTCCCAGGACAGTTCATAGAGCACCGCGTCTTGACAGTTTCCGTTGTTTGTTGTGGTGTATAAGTATCGAAATCCGTTCACCGTCCCCATATCAACCATATGGTTGAACTCCATCAAGTGTCTTGGTCCGCTGCTTAGCTGTTATGGCTCCAATGCCGATTCGCCGAACACTAGACCAAATACAAACGCCATTACTACGTCCGGGAGTGATGACACCACCGTGAAACGGACATTTCACCTGTGGAAGGGGTGACAATAACCTCCTTCCGGTTTCATAGTGCTTGTCTTTTGCTCAAGTACTTAAATAGTAGGAGCCGACTCGCGCCTTCCAATTACGCCTGAATCATTGATGCAACTCACTCAGACTTGAATTTGGTTCTTGTGTTTCTTTGCATTCGAATCCATGCTGAAGAGCTTGAAGGTAGCATAATAATGTAGCAGTGATAAAAAAACAAAGGTGCACCACTCGTGCATCGAGGTCACGCAACGGACTCAAGACTCTGCAAGTATTAAGGTTCAAAAGTTTAGGTGCCACATATCCGGGATTTGCCATTTGCACCCCTCTTGTGTACGCCTCAGCATAATATTGCACGTGGTTGCCTCTGCCTAGGCCTCATATGGTTGGTTGCATCCAAGTTGACATCCTTTTCTAATTCCTCTGTCCAGGCAAGATGATCCTCCCACCCGTCATCAGCTCAATAGGACGAGTCGTACAGAATCATTTGGTTCTTCTTGGCGTGCCTTCTTCAGTGGCTTTAACATTGTTTGCATTACCATACAAAGTACACTGGACATCTTCTCGCCTTGGTGTGCTGACGAGTAACATGATACAAGTCCAATTACTCTGAGACTCGCTCGACCTCAGCTGTCCACTTTCGCTGAAGACTGGCCATGACATTGTCTACTCTAAATTCTTCCACTAATCCTGGTGATCTTCATTCCCAGCGCTTAGTGCAATCACTGGCATACCAGCGTCTATATTGTGCCAAACAGCCTTCGACAATATGGAAATGCACGTGTAGCATGACCTGAACCTCAACCACCCTCTCAGCTAAACTCTATCCACGTACCATATCCTTACCCCCGTCTTACTTCTCATTGATTCCGTCCACACCACTCAGCCCAACCTCAATATTCTCATCAATTTGCTCCATCACACCATCATGCCTGATAGCTCAGAAAGCCGATATATCAGACTTGAAGGCGAGCCCCTCTATATTATCTTCGCATATGTTATCATCCTCACACAATATCTACAGTCATCAGCGGAAAGAATATTCAAGTTCCTTCCAAGCGCATTCCTGCTGGCATCTACATATCCATCAATGTCAACTCCAGGAGGCGCTGGAAATCAGCCATCAGTGTCTCATCGTCTGATCAATCTGTCCTGTGGAGGAATTCTGTCACTCTGTAAAGTCCATGGACACTGTCTGACGCGATGCGAGAACTGATCATCGGTTTATAGATCATCACACTCCTCACCTGCATTGTCAGTGGAGATCAGGGCATCCTTTGAGCTTGGTCGAACACTAGGCGGTGGAGAGGTCATCGGCGAACTTCAGATGGCGTGGGATGAGGTACTCGATCATGGAGATGAGCCATTTGGTGAGTGATTCGCTTCTTATTCATGCACATACACTAACGTCTCGTAGATATATCCTTCCCACCCGTGCATGGTCTCCACCCTTCCTTTCGGCTGAAGGCTGCCATTGTAAATGCTTGCGACGATCAGGACGAAGCACTATTTGATGTGAGTGACGCTGATATCTGTCCTGTTAGCTTTTGCTCACAGAACGCAAACTGCAGTCCCTCATAGACTGCGAGATTGCTCGAGACACAGATGCGGGCCACGTACAATTTGCCAAATATGTGAGACGCAAGAGGGTCTCTCACCTGAAACGTGCTGTAGACCATTTTCAGTTGGTTCTGGATCAGTGTCCGGTCGGCCATCCAGACCATGTTACGGCTCTCACCAACCTCGCGTGGGCCCGCCTCAAAGGCTGCATCCGAAATGATTTTGAGGACATCGATGCCACCACTTCCCTCTTCCGCGACGCCCTTGCATTGCGTCCGCAGTCCCATCCCGATCATCCCTTATCTCTATATAATCTTACCAAAGCGCTGAGTTGGCGCCACAACAAGAAGAGGACTGCTGTCGACATCCGTGAAGCCGCGCAACTCTATCGTGAACTACTGCCTCTCTGTCCAGAGGGCACCTACCTTCGTAGTATCGCGGCAGGGGAAAATGGTGTTGATTATGTGATTGGCGCATGCAACAAACTTCCAATAGACGCATCCGATGAAGGCATCCGTCTTCGAAGAGTCGTCCTCGAGCTCTGTCCTCTGGGCCATCAACTCCGTCCCAGAGCTCTCGACAAGCTTGTACGAGCAGTTCAAGGACGCTTTGATCAGCACGGCAGCATCAATGATATTGACACGAGCATACAACTTCGTCGCGAAGCCGTGTCTCTGTGCCCTGAGGGACATGCTGGCCGTGATACCTACCTGAACAACTTGGCTTACTCCCTCCAGTCTCGCTTCGATCACCAAGGCAAACCTAATGACCTCGATGAGGCCATATCTTTGCACGAAGAGGCGCTGCGCCTGTGCCCTGTTGGGGATAAATCTCGTTATTACTTATTGGACAACCTAGGGGGCGTCCTCGCGGAACGTTTCAACAAACGCGGCGACATTGACGACATCACCCGAGCTATCAGCCTCCATCGCGAGGCACTGACTTTGCGCCCATCTGGGCATCCAGGTCGTGACATCATACTTAACAACCTGGCCCTCGCGCTCCAAACCAGATATGACAAATCACATATTAGGGAGGATCTTAACGAGGCCATCGATTTGTATCGCGAATCCCTTCGGTTAAAGCGGCTTGACCATCCAGAGCGCCATATAAATCTTTCCAATTTGAGCTCAGCGCTCTGCTCTCGTTTCACGCAAACTCAGGAGAATGAAGATGTCGAGGAGGCCATTAAACTTTGCCAACAATCATTGGCGGCTTTGCATTCACTGCACCCAGACAGATACTACTCATATTTCGAGCTGCGGGAAGCCTATATGTCTCGTTACCAGATTCTACACGATCCTGCTGATTTGTCGCTCGCTATAGAGAACTTCAGATTTGCATCAAGACATCCTACTCAAGGATTTCCGCTACGCATCATAGAGGTTATTGAGTGGGCTCGCCAAGCAGAAGTCTGTGGACATGAATCAGCCCTAGAAGCATACCAGATGTGCTTTGAACATTTTGACAGCCATGTGATGACACGATCGTCGATCACCTCGCGGCGTGAGGCTGCAACCGCCTTTCGTGGTGCGCGGTCACTTCCTGTAGATGCAGCCTCATGTGCCATACGTCGTGACAATCTACGACAAGCAGTTGAACTTGTGGAGCAGGGTCGTGGCCAGCAATGGTCGCTGGCATCTCGACTCAGAACTCCAGTCGAAGACCTCGAGTCGGCAAATCCGACACTGGCCCACAATTATTTGGAGCTGAGCAAACTCGTTTCCAATGCAGCCCAGAGTTCTGCAACCATCACCGACAGAGCTGCTGCCGATCGGGAAGCAATGGAGTATAGGAGACGTACAAGGCAATGGCAAGCAGCTGTAGCTGAGATACGCGATCTTCCTGCGTTCTCGCGGTTCCTGCTTCCACCTTCATATGAAGACCTCCAAGCCGCAGCGCGCCAGGGCCCAGTTATCATCCTCGTTGCTAGTCAATACTCGTGCAGCGCCGTCATCGTCCCGACGTCAGGAGACCCCTATCATGTTCCTTTGCCGTCCATCGCTCTCGCAGATCTCAAGATTCTCAAGGATCGCTTCACCAGGGCAATACGAGATTCATCTCGGATGAACCCACGGGAGTCGAGGACGGATCTCATAGTACTCTTGCGGATAATATGGGACCAGATCATGCTACCAATCGTCCACGTACTCGAGCACGTCCTAAAACTAAAGCACCGCTCTCGAATCTGGCTGTGTCCCACTGCGGCTTTCACGTCCATTCCTCTTCATGCAGCTCACCCGTTTCAAACAAAGGCGGATCGTTCTGGGAAGGAGCCATGCCTGGAGGATCTCTACATCTGCTCTTACACGCCGACACTTTCTGCTCTGATCAGATCTAGACAGTTGATGAAGAAGCGCGTGCCTCCATCCTTTGTGGCCATCGGACAGGGTCAACCGGGTGCAGGGAAAGGCAAGGCGCTCTTGGCGGTCGATAGCGAGCTCGAGCTTGTCCATAAGCTCGTCCCTGCGACGGCCAACCGCACCACTATATCTGGCGACGAAGCCACACGAGCAGGTGCACTGTCAGCCTTGCAGCAGAACACCTGGGTGCACCTCGCTTGTCATGGCAAGCAGGATCCTAAACAGCCTTACGATTCGCATTTCGTCATGAGAGACGAACATCTCACACTGCTCGATATAATGGAAACACATCTTCCGCAGGCCGAGTTCGCGTTCTTATCGGCTTGTCACACAGCTGTAGGGGATGAGGAGACGCCGGACGAAGTAATTCACCTCGCAGCTGGTCTCCAGTTCTCAGGGTTCAAGAGCGTCGTTGGCACGCTGTGGGAGGTCGACGATGCTGTCGCAAAACACGTCGTCGAAGCCTTTTACGGGTATATGTTTGGAGATTTGAAGACAGGCGGTGTCATGGACTGTTCGAGGGCAGCCTGGGCACTCAACTGTGCTACGCACGCGGTGAAGACGAAAGTGCCGCTCGAGCAGAGGATGGTTTTTGTTCATATTGGTGTATAGTCCTACGTCGTATTGCTGTCGTCTGGTATATATTCAGTGCACATGTTGATCTGCGATCCTCTTTCATTCTGTTATACAAATGACCCTGATGCATATTTCTTACACTCTACCTATAGTCTATTTCGTATTTATTGTCGTTTTTGTCGACTAGAATGTTTCACCAAAGTTCTTGTGTACTCGACTCGTCTTTTGCTTGAGTACTTAGATAGTAGGAGCCGACTCGCGCCTTCCAATTACGCCCGAATCATTGATGTAACTCACCCAGACTTGAATTTCGTTGTTGCGCGCTGTTTCTTTGCATTGGAATCCATACTGAAGAGCTTGAAGGTAGCATAATAATGTAGCAGTGATCAAAAACACGGACACACCAGATAGCGCTCGTAGTACTCGTGCATCGATCGAGGTCACGCAATGGACTGGCGACTCTGCAAGACGCAAACGGGATCTGAGGGTAAAATAACCTTTGTTTCTCTGGGTGAATCGGACCAATTGACCTAACATGAGATACGAATAGGGTGCTCCATTACTGAGATTTGAGGATTCGTTCAACATATACCCTGTATTTGCTCTTTGAGTATTTATGCATAGTCCTATGCCACTTGTTTCGAGTTGCTGCAGAGTACTTTCTCGAATAAGATGATGCGTTTCATTATCTGTCATTCCCTTCATCCATCCTGTCATTCCCGTACCCATCGACGATCTCCCACAACGCACTAGCAAGCTCTTTCACGTCATCATTCTCGAGGCCCATGCTCATAAGCACACCATCACTCCTTCTCATCCTTGCAGTCTGTTCCACAAACCTAGCATACCCCATAAGCGGGATCGATGTAGAAGGTGCTGTGACAAGCGATGAAGCCATCCTAATCGACGTTGGTTTAGTGTGCCGAAACATGGACGGAAATGATGTCGGCACGGGATAAGCAGGTGCATGGATGCTAACCCCATGACATAAATGAGTTCAGATGCATGCCACACGATTGAGCCATACCTGGAATCCAGAGGTTCCTGTAGCGATGACAAGTCACGCCATGCATCAAATGCTGCCAGATCTTGATCCTGCAACCCTCGAGTTACGTTTCGTCTCGCAAAAACTGCGCGCTCGTCCTATGATTACTTATTGCTTCATCATGGTCCGTGCAATCAAGGCGTCAACATGATCCTTACCTTATTTGACAAACCAGTCGAGAAGTTGCAGTACAGATCGGCGAACGTTCCCTCTGTCGCAGAAAAAGGTAGGGGGACTATGCCACCCAGTTGTCCCAATCGAGAACATTTTCGCCAGTTCAAGTGGTCAGCGATCATTGCGATGTCCTCCCGACTGCCTTTAAGTCTGTGTGGAATCAGTTGATGATATGTTCATTGCCTGTCAATGAAAATAGCATGCCTTAGTGGCAACGTAGCAGTCTCTACCAGCGACGAGATGACTCCAGACGTATGATACAAGCTGTTTTTCTGCAACGTTCAGTCAGGTAAGTGTATGTAGAGTTTTGCAGTAGACAAACATTATAGGAAAGTCCCCGCGATAGGTTACTTTCCAACGCAGACCATCGGGACGGATTTAGTATTGGGAAAGTGATATCCGAAAGCTGATGCAAGCTTTGCAAGCATAATGCGTCGTTTATAATTCTCTTGGTGTCGAGAAACTGCTTTCAAACGTTTGTGTGGCATCTACGTGGAGGCGCATACACTCACATTGTCAATGCCAGCATGATTTGGGTCTGCGCCCGAAAGGAAACTAAAGTTTAGCGTAGAAGCCTTGAGAAACTCGTCGCGGAAGGAAGTCAGGAAAGCATGCGAAAAGCCCCCGAAAGAGGGTGTATCATGCATCATTTGCAAGCCCTGCAGTGGGGGGTTGACTTAGCGGAGGGCTGGAAATAGCATGAAAAAGAGCCTACCTGGAAGTTATCACAGTTCTCGACGAGCAGACGAAACGCCCCTTCCATAAGCTCTGTATCCTAGAGAAGTGTTATAAATACCACAAAACGGGGAGAAAAAGAATGTACCTCGTTATATCGCTGGAAGAGATCTTGACCGACACTCCACCCAGCCTCGATACTTTCCAGTGCGTCAGGGATGGCCTGTATGGATTTTCGATCAAAGAATACGCGACTATAATCTGACCAGTATCTGATATTTGGATCTGTGCGTTCCAAATCGCCTTCTTCTGGTTCACCTTCAAGACGAGCGTGATATTCGCTTTGAGGAATTGGATCTTGTGTCTCGCAAACGACCCTTCCTTGCCTGAAAAGTATCAGTTCGTATGACAAACATCTGTTACAACCAACACTCACCAGGTCGTATCAAGTGAAGCATCGGTAACTGTATCAGCTTGGCTCGTTTTTGCGAGTGTCCCGAAGTTTGCTGCTCAGATGCAGCTCAGACGATAGGATATCAATGCGCCAACGAAGGCATACACTTCTGGTCGAATGTCAACAGGCGCGGACAAAGAGTTGGTTGATTCTTAAGAGACGCAACGGTAGCTCACATTAAGTTGAGGACCTCACTTGGAAATGGTACACACACCTGAGGACTTCGTCCCTCTTCGAACGAAAGGTCGTGGTTTACGATAGGTTCATCGTCATCTTCGTAGGTGAAATAGCTCTCCTGCGTATTCCAAAAATGTGTTCCTACGTAGTTTGCAAATGAGCCTGCTTGGATGTAGATGATTTCTCTCATAGCGTGAAGGTATTTTGAAACATGCTCGATCGGAAGTACTGATCATCATGCCGTCATGAAATGTTCCCACGCTAGTGGGGTAGTACCGTAGATACTTACTGCGCAGAATACTTACAACTACTGATACAGGAGGGCCTGTAGGGCCCAGGTCACGTTGGTCCAAGCTAGGCGGCAGAGTCAGTCGCAATATAATGTCCGCCTACAACCTGCTTTTACGCTCTTCAGACGAACAATGTGATCAGTCGTGCGTGCAATAGTTTGGAATAATCTGCCTTGCTAACGTTGAGGCAGTCAATGATCGCGTTTTGATACCCACCTTTATGCTGGGCCGCCGACTGTTCAGGCCTCCGTAAGCGGCGGGAAAAAGAGAGTCTGTGATGATTGTAGGGTAGTCTACTTTGTGTATACCAGATTTCTTGTAGAATGTAATGATCGTGACCATCTTCTGCTTTGCCAGGTGTTCGGGGGAACTCACGCCAATCAATACGGGCATGACAAGGTTTTGCATGCTGCAAAATATCTTGGCCCCTCGGTGTAATCACCTCAAACTTAGAGTCGTTCGCAAGTAAAATCTGCTTCGGAAGACCGATGACAACGCGCGCGGCATCTCCAACCAAAGCGAACACTTTCTGAGTGACCTCATGCACGAGCGCACGAACATCCGGATAAGATGTTGAGAACGCTGAGACGGCTTTGGTGAGATGGCCATAGTGGATGGAGTCTATGACATTGTCAGACTGGCCAGAGATCTCGAAGAAGGGGGATTGAGATGGAGGTGGACGGTGATGGACAGCCTTCGAAGAATGCAGTAACAAGTATTGCAGGATATATCTATACTGGAAACCATGGAGAATTAGATGAGACTATAACAATGAAGCATGGAACTTCCCTAATGTTGACCGTCTGCCCTCTGAACGGGCACACAGCAAACCCAGAGCAGAAAACGAGCCCGCCATCCGGCTCGTTTTATGGTGATGTCAGGATGCGAGGTTCCAGCTGCCGCTGCAGTGCCAGTAACTGCGGGAGATGTAGTGGATGCCGTGGCAGTGGTATTTGGTTGCTGTGATGATGGCAGATTGCTTTGGGTTGCTCCGCCGTTATGTTGTTGCGTGGTAGGAGGCTTGGGAGGCTGAGAGGAGCTGGTAGAGGGCTTCTTTCTGGCATGATAATTCCTCTGTCAAAATGTGTTAGTGTTAAAGAACTTATAGAGAAACAAATGTACCGGCTTGCCCGCTGTTAGCGGGACCTCGACTACTGGTGGCAACCGTATAGCCGATCCATCTCGTCTGCGTAACATACTAGAGATGAAATTTTGAGCCAGGCTGAGAATATTGTGGGAGGATGAGCGACTGGGCTGCAGTGGTGCTGCAGTACGGTGACCGCGTGATGTTGACGACTGTCGACATATTAGCCGATGGGACTGATCGATTATCAACTGAGGTCGCGTACATTAACATGGTCGTCAAAAAACCCTGGTGGTATTCGACGAACACCTTCAATCTTGGGTGCACGTCGTTGTGTAACATTGACCTAGGATATAGATACTCAAAACCATGTAGAATTTCAAGAAACACACAACTCACATCTACGAATGGCTTGTTGACAGCCTTCTGTGATGAACAAAGATCAATAAGGCTGTTGAAGAAGAGATCTCATACAACAAACCGCCTGGAAAGAAGACAGATTCGTTATCAATATAATTTGGGATGAAATGCCCGCTAGCTTACTGCAGTTAGAAGGCCATCGAGCCCAGCTTCGATCACGATAGCAGAGACATCCCATGCGTATACGCGGCCGGAGTCGCAGCCAGTCACGAATAAGTTACCATCTGCAGCAAACACGGCGCTGGACACCTCGTCTTCATCTTGATGATGTAGGGGTGGCCCTATGCATTGATGGTTTTCGAGGTTCCATAGTTGTACTGTGTGCTTGTCAGCTGTCGGTACGCTTGCAAGGATGCGCTCATTTGGAGATAACATAGTATCCATTGAGGAACCGGCAAGCCATTCGCCATTGATTTCAGTCCAAGTTGCAGTCTCGAACCTCCTGCTCCCGGTTATAAGCGTGCTTCCATCCGAGGTCCATGCCATGTCTGCAACGATACCGAACTCGAGTGTTTTGAGCTGTTCACCTGTGTTGGCATCCCAAACTCTCAGCATGTTTCCTCCGGTGGAAATCATCTTGCCATCAGTTGAGTAGCGAACACCATACACATACTCCCCAATCTCGATTGGTCCAAGGATGATCTTTCCGCTCTTTACATTCCACACTCTGAACATGCCATCCATGTTTCCGCACACCACTCTCCCTCCGTTTGGACTCCAGGAGATAGATATCACTGCGTAGAGATGATCAGCAGCTGTGTACTCCGTCAATTTTTTGATGACCCTGCTTCTGCTAATGTCCCACAATCTCACTATGCCATCCTCACACCCGCATGCGACTGTCTTGCCGTCTGGCGACAATGCCATGGAAAATACTCCTTTATTACTTCCTTCATCCTTCCACTCCCCGACACGCATGCCGCTCTCCAAGTCCCAGACTCGAAGTGAGCTAGATTCCATTGAACAGGTAATGATCTGTCGTGTCATATTGGGTAGCTCTATGATGCCATTCACAGGTTGAATTTCTCCTTCAAGATGCATCTTTTGGCGAGGCTTCACGGCTGACTTCTTTTGTTTTCCGATGGCTGGTGAAGACATGATGTTGGCTCGGGAAGGCTTCACATGATGGGTGCGGGTCACTTTCAGCTCTTCAAGTTAATACAGGTTACCCTCACATGAATGCTATCACTTACTTAGAGTACTTGTTTTGCACACAGAACGCTCGTGTGCGGAATCAAAGCTGCAACGAAGTGAACTTTTTCTCGACGCAGAGTTGAGTCAGGAGGAAGGTCGCTATTTAAGTCCTCTACAGGTTGTCACAGTTTACTTTCAATGCTAAGCACAGGTTGTGCAGATCGAGCGCCCAAGTCTTCTCACGATATGTATAACTTCTTCTTCGACAGCAAAATGGTTGCTAATCTGTGTTTATAACTGGCTCGATATGATTTCCCGGTCTTGAATCTTGATCTATGTTCCCGAGCTACATATCGGCTCAGAGTCGAATAGGATGGCCAGATGCTTTCGCACTTTCTCCAACCCTTATTTCCAACGTCCTACTCTAGCTCTTCATTATGGCTTCCCCAATAGCGGCATGGAATTCTCCGTGATTTATCCTATTACCTTGGTTTGTCTATTTGATGAATCGAAGGTCACGCTATGCTATTGTCAAAGAACTGAGTGAACTCTACCGTTCTGGCTGGATCGTCGCTTGGGTTCGTACGCGCCGCTGTCTGAACAGCTATAGGAGATCTCATGCAGAACCCGTGCAAGTGCAGGTGACAGGGACTGGCTTGTTTACGTTTCGGTTGATTGATTGCTATCATACTTCGAACGTTGACGACTCGGCGGATGATCTAGAACTCGAAGACTCGTCAGCATTGTCTCCTTCGCCGAAAAACTTGCATAGGAGGTGTGTCTCGGCTTCTCCCAATCTTAGCATGATGTATTCCACTGAGATCACAAAGATGGTGGGGAATCTGTAACGCTCGTCAAAAGCCGTCGTCGAATATTGGCGATGGCGACCAATATTCTCGTTGTTAGCTTGCTACTGACCCATTCCTTCTCTCTTATTCCATAGTATTCTTACCCTACAGTATATAAACCGACGTATATCTACTTGTAGGGCAGTTGATCTTTCACCCCCGAATACGACTTAGTTAGGACAGTTACTCTGTTCGAGCATTAAGTCCCTTCGACCCAATCGACTCTCTCGTGTGAACGTTTTATAAACGCCACAGAATCATACTGTCTTGAATTTGCAAGCTTGCACACGATTCAAGGCCTTGTTGCCTTGATATATGGCAATGTAGGTCGTAATGCTATGTATTGTTTCTGTTCCCACTCAGAGCACTAACTTATGTCTGTCCTAGTTCATATCCCATACTTTCAGATAAACCTACCTGTCACAATTGTCATGTCACTAGTGTGAAGCAAATCGCCCACTCGCTTCACCTCCAACCAATTGAAATTACTTCTCAGAGTGCTGTGTTAGGTCAGAAATAGTATTACAGTTCATTTGAATCATATCGGTCCGCAAATACTACACGTTGGTGAACTAGTCAACCCATACTATACAACAACCGCAGGAGAGTAATAGAGCACTAAGAGTTCATCAGGGATTCATAATTCATTACACATGATTACAGAGTGCTACAGAACGCTCTGTAGCATCCTGTAGCACGATTTAACCCGCTGATGTTGCAAGACATTGCTTCCCAATTTTAACCACCTGCGGGCTGAGTGGGTACGCAGCAAACCCAGAGCAGGAAACGAGCCCGCCATCCAGCCTGTCGTATGGTGATATCGTGACTTGTACCGGCTACACCTGCAGTACCAGTAACACCGGTAGGCGTCGTGGATGTCGTGGCAGTGGCAGGTGATTGCTGTGATGATGACATATTGCTTTGAGTCGCCGTGCCGCTTTGTTGCTGCGTGGTAGGAGGTTTGGTAGGTTGAGAAGATTTCGCAGAGGGCTTCTTTCTTGCGTGGTAATTCCTCTGCGTTGACATGAGACTACAAATACACTTGAAAGTAAAAAAACAAACGCACAGGCTTTCCCGCTGTTAATGGAACTTCGACTACTCGTGGCAACCGGATAGCCGATCTGTCTCGTTTGCGTAGCATACCCGAGACAAAATTTTGAGCCCAACTGATAGGGTTGCGACTAGGGTGGGTGGGTTGACGTGGCGCTGTTGTGGGGCGATCACGCGATGTCGAGAACTGTAGACATATCGGTCAAGGGAACCGCTCAAATATCGACGGAGATCACGTACATCATCGAAAAATCCTTGCGGTACTCGACGAACGCCTTCGATTTTCTGGGCTCGTTGTCGTGTAGCATCAGCCTTGTGTGTCGATCAAAGTCATGGATAATGTCAAGAAAAATAACACATACATTCGACATTGATTTGTTGATGACATTCTCAGGCTGTAATGGACAAATATCAGTGGGTACTCAGGCTGTTGAAGAGACCTGACAAAACATACCACCTGAAAGGATGGAGCAGATATGTTGTCAGTGTGATTGAGAATTAGATGAATCAGATTAGCAAAGCTTACATTGTCCAACAGAAGGTTATCAAGACCAGCTTCTTTGACGATGGCGAAGATATCCCATGTGTATATGCGGCCATCGATACAGCCGGTGATGAGATACTTTCCATCTGCAGAAAAAGCCACGCCTTTCACCGACTTTTCATGGTGGAGGGGTGGTCCGATAAGCTGATCGTTTTCAAGGTTCCATATCCGTGCTGTACTGTCGTTCGATACACTTGCAAGGATACGCTCATTCGCAGATAATATAATCTCAGTAAGTCTGTTGTGCCCCTCGAGAAAAGCTGTTTGGGTCCAAGTAGCGGTCTCAAGCTTCCTGATTCCGCCATTCATGGTGAGGATAAGTGTCTTTCCCGGGCCATCAATGGAGGTCCATGCAATGCGCAAAACTTTTCCCTCGATTGTTTTGAGTAATTCGCCTGTGTTGGCGTCCCAGATTTTGAGCCGGAGTCCGCTCGTCGCGATCATCGTGCCATCGGGAGAATAACAAACCAAGACAGGCATGTTTGATGTTGCCTTGATTGGTCCGACAATGGTGTCTCCGCTTTTGACGTCCCACACTCTCCATGTATGATCCAAGGATCCGCTCACCACTCGCCCTCCGTCTGGACTCCAGCACACAGACCACACCAACCTTGTGTGACCTATCCATTTCTTGACAACCTTACCCGTGTCGATATCCCACAATCTCACTGTGCCATCAAAACTCCCGCTTGCTACCATTGTGCCATCCGGTGACAATGAGATGGTGGCCACTACTCCACTTCCTTCATCCTTCCAGGCATTCCCGACCTGTGTACCGCTCCGCAAGTCCCAGACTCGAATCGAACCATCGCTTGAAGAGGTGAGAATCCGCTGTCGGCGACTGGGTAGCTGTAGGATGCCAGTGACACCTTTAGTGTGTCCTTGCATCTTTTTGATGTGCTTTATCACTGGTTTCTCAGGCTCTTGCCTTGCAGTGGCCATTGAAGACATGTTTTTGACTTGGGGGCTTCACCTAATGGACGATTTCAACTCTGACCCATCCAAAAAATAACATCACTCACTCAACAAATTGTGTACAGAACAAATTGAACGCACGCGGAGTGAGAATTGCAGTGGAATGAACGTTTCACTCGATAATACGGCGTTAAATCAGAAGGTGCACCCGAGAAGCATGCTGATCAAGTTTTGTTTTCTCACATTGTTTCTTCGTCGATTCTATCATTCGGGCAAGCTGTAGCATGCATACAGTGGCACTGCAAACACAGTTCAATCCTTTTTTGAAATTGCCCGTGTCACATGATGTCCCACAATCCCACGCTACTCTCGCTCCCTTGAGGCTTGAAGTGCTTGCTGGACGGATTTTATCCTTCCATGCCTCTCCGATTTGCATGCCACTGTCACTCAAAGTGAGCTGCTATTCTCTGAACAGGACATGATGCATGATCCGCCGTCTTCCGGGCAGCCGGCCGCCTATGACGTAATTTACGAATTCAGTTTGTTCGAGTCTTTTTATCTCTTGACTGTCACCGTACCTGCTTCGTAGGCCTGGGGTGGGGGGAGCCCACGTGTTTTTTTCTCGGGCATATACCTAATTGCCAATTTGCCTTCAGCTCTTACCATTAATATTGGCAAACGTCAATCAAAAAGTTGCCATTGATGCATATTGATGATTAATACTGAGAAAGACTTGTTCAGTTCACAGACCTACAGAAAGAGCGCGTCAAAATTAATACTGCAATGGACCGAACATATGTTCAAAGTGCTGGGGTCGCTAACAAAGTCCTGTACTTAAGGTATGTCTTCCGTATTGTATCTACTATTTACTAAGTATCCTCGTGTTCGCTTCACAGCTTGAGAACGGGCTGTGTCCGAATCTCGTTTTCGCGCGTGCTTGAAAAAAAATCGGATCCAACTTATTGAGAGAAAATGACTGCCAGGAATCCGTGATGTCTTTGCCTCTACTCGGGAGGGGCCAAAATGACCTTTGACTTTTCCCAACATTATCACCGAATTCTTACCGAACCATGCATCATGGACCAGCATTCATCATCAATGCATATGTTATGATGCTCCATGTCACAATCTGATGTCATTTCGCCTGTTACGCGCGACTGACAGGGTGAGCCTCTTTTTGGTTATGCTTGTGATGAGGATGCTAATGGTAATATGGTGCTGTGGGAGGGTGATCAATTGACGTTTAGTGGCGAAGTCGCTTCGGCCAATTTCAAGTTGACTTTACCTTCGACAGACTGAGTTGGATTTTGTTTGAACTTGCACAGAAGATGGGACTTCTTTTATCATCATTTGCCTGTGCTCGTCAGATGACATGCTCTAACATGGTCAACCCAGACTTCAAATTGAAGACATGGCGCCATTCCTTTTAGCTGCTCCTGAGTGGGCTTAATTTGGTGTTTAACGCTTCGACTTGCCCTATAAAAGTGAACAGAAAATCTCGAGACTTCCATCATCTCAGGTTACACGAGATATCTACATCAAACAGCTCCTCTACAATGAAGTTTTATTTAGCTGTCACTCTTCTCTCTGCCTTCGCCCTCCCAGTGTTCGCAGACTCCGTTTTTGTTGTACAGAATGCTAATTACAGCAACCCCAACACATCCCTCTCTACCGTCACTTGCTCGCGTTTGTCACTGCGTTACGCCAACTTTTCCTCCCTGCCTTCCTTCCCCAACATCGGAGGTATTCCAGGTGTTGTCTCGAACTCCACCTCATGCGGCTCCTGCTGGAGCCTTACGCCTGCCCCACCCTGCAGCGGCCAAACTGCCCTCTACTTCACTGTTATCGATGACGATTCCAGTTTCGTCGTTGACACTGCTGAAGACGTTAACGCCACCGTATACGCTATCTCCCAGCAGGCGTACGGCAACTTGACTCACGCTTCCTGCAATGCGAACGCAGTTTATGCCGAAGCCGCTCAGGTCCATGCTAGCATGTGTGGCATGTAGAGGCTAGTGTGTTTCATCCTCCTTATTTTGCAAAATTAGAGCTCTGATTCGATGTTCAGGCCGTATAAGCTACTGTACTAGATGGTACTGGCACTGGGATGGTTGATGTTATTGAAGAAGATCTGGAGGTTTTTTTGGTTTTGAGCGGGGTTGATTATACGTCGTGGTTTGTCACTTGGAAAGCGAGGTGCGATGCTTTTGACAGGGTCTCTGTCCGTATTTGTTACACTTGATAGAATCAAACGCACCACCAATTTCGCTTTTTGTATTTGACCATACTGGGACACTTGACCCGGGTAAGATAACAACGCCTATTAGTTCGTGCAATCATCTTGCAACTTATTTTTTTTCCACTGAGGGCAGTACTGGGAATAATATTGTTTACCTGCATAGTGCATGGATGCAAGACATTTGCTAGATCTAAACAAAAAGGATAAAATAACGTTAGGTCATTGATACTTATTGCAGGACTATGAAGATGTTGAAATCGGCTCTGGGCCCACGAAAAACTTGAAGTAATCAACATACTGGGCGCAATCTGGTCGGTAAAACATCCTGTATACCATCCGGCGATACTCCTACTGGACGAACAACTGAAATGACAATATGATAGCGCTGTACACAAACATCGTAATACACTATGTCATACAAAGTAGGGCATTGTATTCTGCGGGTAAAACCGTTAGCGTGTATTCCGATAGTTTTCTGGGAAGCGAGTATCTACTCACCATCTTTTTTGTTTGCATTCCCTTATCTCTCTCATTCTCGGGGGCGGCATCATAAACAGTAAAATCTCTACTTCCATCCTCCTTTATTGTTAGTATCGACGCCATGTTACCGCATCGGTAGCAGTAATTTGGTGCGGACCACACAGTAACGAGCTGGTCATCAAACATGTATTTGTACCCTTCTTGCACAAGCTGATGTGCACGAGCAATGAGACTCAAAGAGTTAACATGATTGAACTGAGAAGGGTCAGGGTGACATTAGATTTAGGGATAGATGGACGGACCTCTCGCGTTACAGTTCTGCCAAATAGCCAACCAGCTCCGCGTGGACTGACAGCCCAAGTGTCGATGTCTTCCGGATCAGACCACATGAGGTCTGCGAAGGTAAATCAGGAGGAGCCGAGCGCACAGCAATAAGTTCTGACCACAGAAGGCACCTTCATGAGGGATTTCCTGGGCACGCGAGAGGACACGAATTTGATCTAGAGTTCGAATGTCTGGTGATAGGCCACCATGCACGCACAAAGTCTCTCCGTCTATTATCTATAGAAGATTTGAGCGTTTCCAGGATATGTTGGAGCGAAGCTTACAGCAGCAAGATTGAGGAAATCGAATACACTACAACATGCTTTCCAAACAGCAGCGCTACCGTACTTTTGTTGGCATTCATCTATGCAACAAAATTATCAGTACTATCAGGAAAGCAGCACTGCGCCGATGAGCATCACCATAAAACCCATACACCTGTGTGATTTGTCTACTTTCATGATTTCCACGGAGGAGAGTGACTTTATCTGGGTATCTAAAAAAAATTCAATACAGATACAGCGATTGGTTATCGGTGACAATACCGAGCTTTCAGTGCCAGCAACAAGGACACGGTTTCCAAACTATAATGCCCTCGGTCGACAAAGTCACCCTGATCGACATTAAGCATGTTCAACCCTCGAATCACAAGCACACATACGTGCCATAAAAATATAGCTAGTCTCTGGGACCTGTCCACCCTTTCGTAGCAGCTCGAGTAAGTCCCAGAACTGACCATGAATGTCGCCGCAGATGGTGACTGGGCTCGAAACGGGCTGAATATTCGACTCTTCCATGAGTATAGCGCGAACACGGTCGCAAAGGACTTTCATATCGGGCTCTGGGAGGTGGCGACATTCCATGAGTTGGTCTATCCATTTGTCAGGGTTATAGGAGGGCATGTAGATGATAAATATTAGAGATGATTTATTGTCGTGTCTGACTCGGTGTTGTGCTGTACAATATATTAGCTGAAGGATCGTGCAGAAGGAACTAAAGGAGGTCGTGAGAAAGCAAGTCCTAACCTGCTAAGTAAATGTCAACGTGCAACCCAAGTGCAACCTAGACGTACGTCAAAGGCTTACATAGGTGCTCTCACCATTTCTTATAAGCTGGTCATCCCTCTGGCGACACTAGAATCCATTTGCCCACGCGAATTTGAATCCTTTCTTCCATGCGCTGCCTGCGCCAACTCTCCTTCGCTTCGCTGTGTGTCACAGCATGGGCTCTACACGAATCCGACGTGGGTGTAGTGGATTGGAATACGAAATTGATCGGTGTACCGCTTCATGGCTCTCCACATACTGCACCTGCATTCTATGGTGATTATATTCTGACTGCTACGAACAACAATGTATTGGCAGCGTTGAACACCACGGATGGCTCTATAGGTGTGTGTCCCATCCTGACTCTGACTCTACTAACGCGTTTGCAGTATGGAGAAGTATATATGATACGGAGGATCCGATCATGGCTTTCAGCCACAGTGATAATAGTGCGTCATGATGCTAATTTCAAGTAAGTTTACGGATCAAACATGGTACTAGGCGTGTCTTCTCTATCTGGACCGGGAGGGTCAATTTTGCGCACGTATGACCTGAAAACAGGCCACCTCACGTTGGAGAAACAACTACACAAACCGGTAGATGGTCGACTTCACGAACCTCAAAATCTTGGAATATCGCTACTGCGTTCTACTGACCCCTCCCTTAACTCAACGGTTTACTTCGCATTGACAAATGGAGACTCTGTCACCCGTCTGGATGAGACTGGGGAGACTTTGTGGTCATGGAACTCTCCCGACCAAGCGTGTGTTTTTTGTATCATACAGTTCTCACTTCATTGATGTCGATTAATCAGGTCCTTGGTTTTGTATTCTCACATCATTGCCGATCCTTCAACCGTGTATCTTGTGGGACTCGCGAAATCATTTGCGTCCTACACTCTGCACGTAACGACCTTGTCAGCGAACACGGGCGAAGTCATCGCGTCCGTCAACATTCCGGCGAACATAAAAGATGAAACATCCAAATTCGTTGCTGTTAGCTCTCAGATAGGACCTACAACTACTGTCTGCGTCAACTGGCTTGAAGACGATGTTCTTAAAGCTGCCATATTAACGCCTGATTTGAAGGGTCAAGTTATGGCTCTTCCGGGCGTCAAGTACGTTAGGATTAGTGAGTTCGGCCTTTCGAATAACGGACAATTTCTCGCGATCAAGGAAGGAGGTGCTGCGCACGTTATGCATTTTGACGTACAGGCATCTTCACTTCGGCCAATCTGGGAATTCGGTGACGCGGTATGTTTCACAATCCATCTCCGTACCATCAATTACTGAGGGGTACCTCAGGCCCCTTCGCAGGCTCAATCGGATTCTCATTTCGTAGGAAGTCTTAGCCGAGATGGCCAACCGCAAGTTGCGCGTGTTTATTGGTCGAACGCTCACAATGTAAGATCCTTCTGCATCCACTAGTGTTTCCTATGCAACTAGAAATTTAGAAAGTCATCCACCAAACTCTGGCCATCGACTTATCTGAGGGCAAAGCCTCTGCCTCTGGTTTTGCGTTCCCCTTCGAGACGCGTGAATATGGTGTCATCCGGCACGTGAGTCCACTCTACAATTATTCCAGGGTCAGATCTGAGTTGGATCTAGGTGGCGTTTGATGGCTCGAGCACGGGGAATACGCACGAGAACACTCGTACGTTGCTGACCACCACGACAGGCTCAATACAGCTTTGGCAACACGACAAAATGCAGTGGGTTCGGGAAGAAGCTCTGGCATCCATCCAAGTCGCAGAGTTCGTGGAACTTCCTGAGAAGAAGGCTGTTATGTCCCATGCTGTTGTGGATGAGGAAGGTTACTTTGAGCGGCTTCAGCGTCAGTTATCTGACGCCAAGGTACAAGGTTCGCGTATATTGAAGTCGCTCGCGCTAAAAGTTTTTTCAAGAACCTTCCTCAATACTTAGCAAACTTTGCCCGACGCTTTGCGACTGGCTCATATGCTACTGTGACTACGTCGGCTGCATCTTCCTCGGATGAGGATACGCTCACGCGCGACGCTTTTGGCTTCCGACAGATCATAGTGGCAGCTACAGCGTATGGGAAAATCTTTGGTATTGATTCTAGCAATGGTCGAGTCTTATGGAGTCGCGTGCTTGGCCTTGGCTGGGCAGCAAAGGTTGGCGGGACAATAATTCCCATCAAAATGTTCGTCACACGGACAGTGAGCGATCCAGAAGGACCTCAAATAGTGCTCGTCACACAACGTCGGGCTGACAATGTGAGCCACATTCTCTTTTGTGCCAAGATTTACGTTGATGAGGTTCAGTCTCTTATTGACACCGTGCTATTCCATGTGAATGCACTTACGGGAGACGACGTCAGAGATGAGCATCAGTCTATTCCTGGAACTGCTTTGGAAGGCCTCGATGCTGTCATGGGACCATTAGTTGATGTTTTCATGCTTCCCAATGAGAACAGGACCATAGTCATGCTCGATGAATACCTCCAGGTGTGTTGTGGTTCTTTGCTTGAATCTGCGAGTCTGACGGTCAATAGGCGCGCCTTTATCCAGACACTCCATCAGCTCAGGCTGAGTTTGAGTCATTCGTCCCGTCCGTACATCTCGCTCTCCGCGCGGATGTTTCTGGCCGGCGCCAGATCTTGGGCCATCAACTAGCCCTCAATCTCGAGCTGTCCCAGTTCTATGTCGCCTATCCAACATGGACACTTTCGCTGCCCCCAAAAGAGGAAATCAACAATATCATTCCGAATACACGCGGTCCCGTTGCATCGATTGGAAAGGTCCTCGGAAACCGAATGACGTTGTATAAGTATCTCAACCCCCACCTGACATTGGTCCTCACGTCTTCCGCGCCGTCTAGCACGTGTGGGATATATGTGTTGGACGTGGTCAAAGGCAGTGTGATTTACCATGCTAGTGTCCCTGCTGCCAGTGGCGTGTGCGACGTGCAAGCGACCCTCACTGAGAACTGGTTGGTATACCATTACTTTGACGACGATTTTTCTGGGACTGGGCAGAGCAAAGGATATAGTGTCGTCTCTGTTGAGTTTTACGAGGGTGATGGACCAGATGACAAGATAAGAAGGTTGGCCCTTTTGCTAGTGAATTTCGGGTATGAGACTGACGTTTTGAAATAGCTCCGAGCTTTCATCGTATTCCAACAAGACGCTGCATGTCAGCACATACGAACAATCGTTTATCATGCCTCACGGCATCACTGCTATATCGCCAACCTCGACGAAGTTTGGAGTATCAACGAAGGACATCATAGGTGCGA